ATTAATATCATTATTATTATTATTCAAACCGAAGCAATACGAAACACGGCAACTTTGATACATCTGCCACCTCAGTGCAAATACTCTGAGTGGGTGGTAGGCGGGTGCTCTGGTATGATTTGCTTCTTCTTTCCTATCAAACATCTTTCTCCCACCAAATGCTGCATAGTGTTGTAACGTTGGTTCATTTGTTTCTTTGTGTGAACAGAAGCAGAAGCACACCGACACAACCAACAACTGACACACTGTCACAACCAACAACTGTCACAACCAACAACTGTCACAACCAACAACTGTCACAACCAACAACTGTCACAACCAACAGCTGTCATTTAGTGTGAGGAAAGGAAGAAAGAAGACAGACTGTAAGACGGAATACAAACTGAGGGGAAGTTTGGTTCTAGTAAGAGTTTTACGGCACTTGCAACACAATAAGGTCATATAACATGAGTGCCGAAGATTAGAGGTGTTACAAGAGAGTAACAAACATAAAAAAAGAAGGAGGAGAGATAAGGACGATTGATGTTTGATAAGAAAAAAAAAGCAAACCACACCAGAGCATCCCCCAACCACCCACATCTGAACTCTGTATACGTATCTTTCTCCATCCAACAAACGCTGCGTAGCTTTTTAACGTTGGTTCGTTCGTTTATACGTGAGGACAGAAGCATAAGCACACCGACACAATGAATATCTGTCACTTAGTGCAAGGACCAGAAAAAAGAAGACAGACTGAAAGACGGAATTAAAAACTGAGAGAGAGAGAAAGAAGAGCAATAATTATATGATGTTTGATCTACCAGTGGCACTCCCCTCCCCTCCCCTAAATCATCCAGGGAAAAGTTACGAAAAAAAGAAGACAGACTGAAAGGCGGAATTAAAAACTGAGAGAGAGAGAGAAGACCAATTCTATTATGTTTGATTTACCGGTGGCACTCCCCCCCCCCCCAAATCACCCAGGGAAAAGTTAGTAGTAGTAGTAGCACAGTACATTGTCATGAGGTGACTTCAGCCTCCAACGTTATGCTCCTAGTATTAGTAGTCACTCAGTTTGGGGAAAAAATGAATGCAACAAATTTGTTAAAATGTTATAATGAATTCTGAAAAAAAAGAAGATTAGAAAAAAAAAATTAAACACTCAGTGGGGAGGAGAAAAAGAAGGAAGAAATAAACAAGAGAAAAAAAGAAAAAAAAGAAGAAAAAAAAAGAGAAAAAAAAGAAGAAAAAAAATGAGGAGAAAAAAAGTCGGAGGGCGGAGGGGATGCTGAGGTAAGGATATATATAACACCCAACGCACGCACGCTGCCAGTGGATTTCATCGGTGGATTGAGTCGGAGCCAGCCAGATTTTCCTTCTTGTAAGGAGCCAAAGCTAGTACTGTTTTGGCACAATGCTACTGAAATCCAACTTACAAACTTGATCGCGACCTTCACAATCAAACCTATTTTGGCACAATTCTACCGAAATCCAACTAAACTTGATTGATTGTGACCTTCAAAATCAAACACACATTTGTGAGGCGTCACGCGTGGTGAAATCAGGCGCTCGTCAAAATAATGAAATCGAAGATATCAGCATTTTTCCTCCAGTTTGATATTTTTGCTCTTTGGCTCAACACCTTTCATGTCCATTTAATCATAAAAACATATTTCTGTGTGAACTTTAATGAAAAACATTGATTAAAGGCACAACAAATGTAAATTTTCAGTTTCCAAGGAGTCTCAAACTATGGAACTCACCAAACTTTAGAGGCTATTTTCGCGTTAATATTACCTCTGACACCAGGCAACCCCCACCTCTTTCCATGGCAAATATCTCCACTTCTATGCAAGAAAGGTAGGTATTTTTTTCATCAAAAGATGGTAAAAAATGAACAATCTTTAAGACGATATCAATAAAGTCTCCAGACGCCTAAAAACTGACGAGTGCCTGATTCTACCGCGTCGAGACGCATATGTTTTTTCAAGGTTGCAAGTCAAATCAATCGTTTTGAGCCAAAATGGTAGCTTTTGCTGCCACCCTGAAGGAAAAATCTTGTTTCATTGTCTTAGTAAGAGTTTTACGGCACTTGCAACACAATAAAGTCATATAAGTGCCGTAGATTAGAGGTGTTACAAGAGAGTAACAAACATAAAAAAGAAGGAGGAGAGATCAGGACGATAGATGTCTGACAGGAAAGAAGAAGAAAACCACACCAGAGCACCCGCCAACCACCCACGGTTGCAAGTCGAATCAATAATTTGTATTGTGCTAAAATGGTAGCTTTTGTCCTCCACCCTGAATGAAAAATCTGGCCGGCCCTGATTTGATGCGTCAAGAATCCGCTTGGCAGTGGGTACTGGGTTTAAAGAAAAACACAACCAACGCCACGACACGACACGGTAGTACAGCCACCAGCGGCAGCAGGAAGCGCGTGTGTAGCGTGTAGTGTGTAGCCCAGAGAGAGGAAATAACACAACATGGCGGCAGTGGAAGGGGTACCTGATCGTGCTTCTCCTCGCCAGTTTGACAAAGAAGTTCACTTTTCTGATAAAGATAATAAGATAAGACCGTAAGATAAGACCGTAAGATCTGATAAGATAAGATAACACTTTATTATCCCAGAGAAAAACACACACAAAGTCCACAACTGTCCTAGAAAAAAGAACAAAAATATTATCTTTGTTGTGAGATCTCCCACCTCACCCCCCCCCCCCCCCCAAAAAAAACACCCCTCTCTCCTCCCCCCTCCCTCCCTCCTTTCCCGACCCAAATTCCATGAATATTGTTTGGATAAAGATAATTTTTAAAAAACACATACACAAAGTCGACAACTGTCCTAGAGAAAAGAACAAAACTATTGTCCTTGTTGTGAGATCTGGGGTCACCGTGGGGTCACAGCTACACATAACAGGAACAGTATTTTATTTTAGTAGAGGTTTGATAGGAAAAAAGAAGTAGACCACACCAGAGCACCCGCCAACCACCCACTAACAGGAACAGCAAACAGCTGGCTGAAATTGTTGTGATGCGCAAAGGCATGATGAGTCGGTTAAACTTTACTTTTACCCGAAATACTATCTGCGACCTACCCGTTAAATCTCTAAGTTCTCCCCTCTCCCCACAAAAAAAAAATTTTTTTTAAATGTCATAGCAAGAAAAGCGTCAAAGAGCACCAAACAGGAAAAATCTCGGACCAAATCCTACCTTAAAAAACAAACAAACAACAACAACAAAGCATCGTAGAAATCGTAGAAAAAATAAAAGAAAGAAAAACCAAATGATTTCAACCCAAACCTGACTATAAATAACAAATTTCCTACATTTCAAAATGAGCAAACAAAAGATGATGTGCAGACATGCCAAACAAAAGATGATGTGCAGACATGCCAAACAAAAGATGATGTGCAGACATGCCAAAGACAAAGGTCGCTCACCTTTCTCTAAGGTCTGTGGAGCTGGCTCTGGATGACGCTCTCTGCTGCCCGGGGGAGGAGAGGGATTCCTGGCTGGAGTTACACTCACGCGGCCGCCGGCTGGGGGGAAGATGATGATAAGAGTTTAGTTTTAGTCAGTGTTTTACGGCACTTGCTACACAACAAGGTCATATAAGTGCCGAAAATTAGAGGTGTTACAAGAGAGTTCGTTTCAGTAAGTGTTTTACGGCACATGCAACACAATAACGTCATACATAAAGAATAACTCATCAATTGTCGGATAACGTCAATGAGCTTTTAATAATTCAGCAAGGGTACAAGTGTTGACGACATCATCTGAAATAGTAGTAGTAGTACAGGGTTTTACGGCGTTCGCAACTGCTAAGGTCATATGAGCGCGCGAAACACAAGTTGTTTACTTTCGCAAAAGTTCACTGCACGATTGGTTAACTATTAGACTTTAAAATGCTAAAATATTAAAATTCAGTGTAAATATATTTGCGATTTAAAATAACTCTTATAAGTAACAATAAGAATTTTAAATAGTACGACTTCACTTTACAAGTTGCCATAAAGGCCAATGACCTTCATAAAATTAAAAATTTTGCCGGGACCAACGACGGAAAAAATGTCTTGCAATTTCTTGCATTTACAATATTTCCTTCGGATCTCTCCAAAGTCTAGACATTCGGTTAAGATGTGTCTAATGGCAAAATCTATGTCGCATCCGACACAAAACGGCTTCTCATCTCCCTGTAGGAAATCAACTGAAATGAAATGGCAGACACAAGACAGCGATGTAGAACGGAATGAAATGATAAGTGACAACACCGACAAATGAAACTACACGCACGAGTCCCCGAGGGAAGCAGAGTGATGATGATGATGGTAGAACGTGAACTGATGAATAACACTAATAATACAGCAACAATATAAGTGCCGAAGATTAGAGGTGTGTTACAAGAGAGTTAGTTTTAGTAAGTGTTTTACGGCACTTGCAACACAATAAGGTCATATAAGTGCCGAAGATTAGAGGTGTTACAAGAGAGTAACAAACACATAAAGGAAGGAGGGGAGATAGGATGATAGGTGTTTGACAGGAAAGAAGGAGAAAACCACACCAGAGCACCCACCAACCACCGACAGATAATAATAATAGATAGCATTAATTTGTATAGCACAAATCCCCACTCAACAACAAGCTGTATGTGCTTCACAATCTATACTATTAGTATTACCCCAGAAAACTTGAGAGCATTCTGAAACAACCTCAACTTCCTGGGAAGCATACAGTGCAAGCAGCCATTTATAGGTGCTAAAACACTAACAAAACTGACAAGATCTTTCGCTATCTATGGCCGGGTACCCATTCCCGTGTAAAGTGGCTTTCCAAAGGACACAACGTCGGGCCCATGGCTCGAACCCCCGAACTCCAGTAGCTAAACCACTAGGCCACCGACAAGTATTAACATCGATAAAAACTCTTTTAGATATATATATGGTCATATCCCAACCTACATTCAAACATTTTTCCTCTATTTTTTTAACAACTTTTTTTTTCTTTCACTAAGAGCTTAATACAGCACTTGCAAAACTGTTAGGTTATATAAGTGCCGAAGATTTTTTTGTTTTAGTAAGGTTTTACAGCGCTCGCAAAACTGTATAAGGTCATATGAGCTCCAAGGGGTAGATGTCAACAGAGAAGTCAAAACGGGAATCAGATTTACTCTGCTCACCTCTCTAGCCTCAACAGCACAAAGTCTGCTTCGACTGTTAAGGTACCCCAGAAATAGCGGGTCACAAGAGAGTGACAAACATGCAAAAGAAGTAGAGGAAAATGATGATAGCATGGGTGAGGAAAGAAAAAGCAGCAGTTCCCTGTTGTAGTTCAGGCACAGTTATGAGCATGACATTGATAAATCAGCCTATTTACAATTCTATTGTACATAAGAACATGGAACTGATATCCCCCATTTGGGAATGGCCTAAAGATAACATCAGTCAGTAGTACTGCCCTGGTGGGGGACATAGAGTATCAGCATCTTTAGTTTTAGTAAAAATGTTACGGCATTTGCAACACAATAAGGTCATATAAGTGCCGAAGATTAGAAGTGTTACAAGGGAGTAACATACACAAAAAAAGAAGGAAGATAGAATTTTTATAGGAAAGAAGGAGCAAACCACACCAGAGCACCCACCAACCACCCACTTATATCAGCATCGATAAAAACTCACTTATGTCATACTCCGACCTGCACTCAAAGATTTTTTTTTCTTTTTTTAGTTTTTTGCTTTTTTAGTGTCAGCAAGCCTTTAAGAAGATCTACTGACCACAGTGAAGAGATGAAAAATTAAAATGGTATGGGCACGTCACAAGGTCCACAGGACTTGCCAAAACAATCCTGCAAGGAACTGTACAAGGAAAGAGAAAGAGAGGAAGGCAGAGAAGGAGATGGGAGGACAACATTACACAGTGGACAGGAAAGACAATGGGTGACAATCTGAGTAAAGCAGAGGACAAAAAATAGACGGCGAGAGCTGTTTTTCAGATGCAGTGGTGCCTCCACGGTTGCCCCAACCACGGGATAGAAGAAGAAGAAGACTTTTACATTGCAATACTGTTATTTAGAAGGTTGTTATATATAAGTTTAGAATCTAGATAGTAATATTATATACTTGTACAAAGAAAAGGAGGAGAGATACGGACAATAGACGTTTAAAACCACATCAGATCACTCCTCAACCACCTAAACAGATGGTGTAAAAAGACTTGAGACAAAAGGAGCGAGTTTTTTTTTTTCAAGGGGAAATAATAAAGACATAAATTATAATACAAATCATCCACCAATCGTCAGCTTCTGCACTCAATTCAATTCACTTACTGCCGCACACTTGAGTTTGGCGATCTTTTACCGCCATCGATAAGCGTCGACGACGAATCAGTCGTGAGCTGCTGCGAGCTGTGTCGTTGTTGGCGTTTCTCGCGAAAACTCCCGCTGTATCGCCGATGGCCTCCCGATTCCGCCGAGAGGGAAGCCCTCTCAAGCTCAACCGACGTTTTGCTTTGCTTAATGCTCATGTCTGCTGAGTCACTGAGACAGCGCCATCATTTCTGAAAGTTTTAATCTTTGAGTGTTCATCCACATTTTCTCAGCCTTCTCAGCTCATGTCCTTTTTTAGATCAATAAAAGCGTAAAATTTAAAGGATTGAATCAAGAGAGATTTGTATTATAAAGAGACTCTACACACTCTGATATAATATTATAATCTCGATTCACCATACCGCGCACAATTTAAGACTCAATTTGCTACCAAATGAAGGGTAAGGAGGAAAGGTTGCGCGCACACTCGACTGGACTATATATAGCAAGATGGATGTTTTGCCCTTCCTTTGTTCGCCCACTGTGACATTGAGTGTACCCGCGCAGCAAAGTTTTTACACAGAGCAAAATGTGGCGTCATCGCAGTATTGTCACTCAAATTTATGGTACGGTCAAGGGATGAGGTATAAAAGGGGTGGCTCTGTTTCGGTAGGTGGCAGATTCATTATTTAAAACCCAGCCCAATTATTTGGGGGTTTTGGGGTTGTTTTCTTTTTAGTAAGTTACAAGTTTTCAGTGAAAGTGAGTGAGTACATCTGAAGGTATCTACGGACTAGAACAAACTTTTTAGATCTGACACTTATCAAACTGCAGACGAAAATACTCCTGAAGCCTCACTGCTCTCCAGAACTGTGGACGAGCATTCTCGTGAATGAAATTACCTCTAGACTAAAGATCTAGGCCTAACTAAAGAAAGATCAGTGGAAGTTTCTCCAGAAATATGTTTCGGTGTAACCCATCAGTATTTTAAACATAATCTTGCTTTCAATCTCTGGCAGTTAAATGTGGAAAGCGATGAGGAGTATAAAAAATGTATTTCACTGAACCTGAGGTGCTCTCAATATTTGTAGATCTAGACGTAGACAGTGATTTCAGTGATAACTCCGACAATCAGACAATGACCCTGATTATTTTTTGGACAGGGAGTAGGGGCCTATTCAGATTGAGAAGAAAGTGACCTAGAAAAGATCTGGAACCAACTATCATTGATCAAGGAGAAAATTACTCTATAGGTAGATCTAGATTTAGAAAGTTTACAGTTTATAATCTCTATTACTGTTAGGAGGAACCAAATCCAAAGTAAGTCAAAGTCAGAACTAACAGTTACTAACGTAGAGCCAGAGAGGCTAGATCTATTATTACTTTAAAAAAGGGGTGAGAATAGAAAAACGATCAACCTCTCACCCCGGGTGAGACTTGCCAGCGTAGGCTATTCTTACCCGGTGCGAAACAAGACCTGCTTTTCCTCATTTTGGAATACTGTCTATAGGTGTGGATGATCAAATTGATAAAAGCCAAGAAAAAATTACGTTATAGCACAAAAGTAAGCTAATTTGATCGTCTTCAAAGATGCTATGGCTATTTCACTGTTCGAATCGAGCCGAACTACGCGGGCCGCCATTTTGTTTTGCCCGGAAGTTCTCGCAAGATCTACTCCTCCCCTCTCTCTCTCTCTCTTTCTGAATACTGTCTATCGGTGTGGACGATCAAATTGACCAAAACAAAGTTTAAAAATGATGTTAAAACACAAAAGTAAATTAATTTGGTTGTCTACAAAGATGCTACGGCTATTTAACTTTTCGAATCAAGCCGAACTACGCGGGTCGCCATTTTGTTTTGACCGGAAGTTCTTGCGCTACTCCTCTCTCTCTCTCTCTCTCCACTGCCCACAGACAAAATAATACGCTTTTAGTAGGCTACAGTTGTAATGGAACGTTTGTTCACGGCACAGAATTCTACAATTTTTCTGTTATCACAGTGTAGAATTCTGTGGTTTAGGGTGAACGCAAAATTTGTTGGCCTAGATCTAGGCTATAACGGTGAACGCGCACCGGGTGAGAATAGCCAAAAGACTCGCCTGCACTATTCTCATCCCGGGTGAGAATAGAGGTGGCCTTAAAAAATTATTGACCCACACCAAAATATGTTTTCAATGAACATATCTAGATCTAGATCTATGGCTTAGGGAAACATTCTAAAAGTTTATAAAAGATTACAAGGTACTGAGTCTAACTAGATTATATCTAGATCTAGATCTAATATATCTAGATCTAAATTCACTTTGACAAGAGTGTAAAGTCTCGAATTGATTGTCAGCAGGCCTACCGTCCCTACACGGTCTAGATTTTTTAGTCAGAGAGTTAAAAGTGGGCGGCAGCTCCGGTCCTTGAGAACGTAAAGTCAAAAGTGAGGCCGGATCCATTTGGTGTTGAGATTCTTCATGACGTATACCTAGGTTCAATACCACCAACGACAATAATTTCAACCAGGGAGGGCTCACATAAATTTCGCAACGTGAACATCAGTCATTAGTTTCCCGATTGTTGACAAAATACAGCAGACAAACAGGAAGTTAGCAACAAAATGGACCCATGTAAAGCTAGCATATTTAAAAGTATTTAGTTTTGAACAATGTCTTCCTGAATGAAATCATTTATACGGGGACTAAAGAGGTTAATTCTTCCCTTCAAGATTTTAAGATTATTTCAAAACAACTTTGAACCATTTCATTGCACAAATTCTTAGAAAAGCTTAAAAAAAAACACTAAAGAGACTGGCTCCGTATGAGGCGGCATTCCAGCCATCGTCAAGGAAAACTTTCAAAATGGATTCCGATGATGAACAAGCCGATGTAAGTGAACTATTTTACTTTCAATCAGCTTCTGATATTGTACCTTTCATTTGACCCTTTCTAACCAACTTTGATTTGTCGTTTTATGTTTTCTGTTTCTGCTGAAACAGGGTAGACAGTACCCATATACACTCGATGCAGTGTAAATTATGAATATGATGATATGAAATCACAAATATTATGGCTATGGAAAATGCTTTCGTTTTCTCATTCTCAAATGGTATTAAATATATTAAATTAGAGATCTCTAGGTCTTATCATCTATACACTCAAGCATTCTTCTGACTCTATGTTCTATTATTTTAGTGTTTAGACTTAGTAAGCTCAGGAAGGTGAATAACTTTTACGTCTCTTTTCATTTTACGTTTCCGATCGTGTTGTCATTGTTGGGCTTAGGGCTTATTAGGGCTTAGTGAAAAAAGTTAGATTAGTGCTTAGCCTCGGTTGGAATGAATCAAAAATGAATGTCAGGCAAGAGGCAAAGGAACTAGATCTAGATCTAGATCTAGATTTTAGGCCTAGTCCAGATCTAAAATCAAAGCTCCAATTCATCTTCCTTCGACTTGGAGTCAGAGTAGTATATGTATGGAATGGGTGTTTTTTTGCTCTACAACATAAAATTAGATCTTACATCTTTTTTTTAAGCTTGGCATAGAATCGTACATCAAATGTTATAAAGACTTTAATTCTTATGTAAAAAAAAGCAAATTGTGCGTAGTAGGCCTAACATTTAAATAGTAAGAGTAGGGTTTAGCCCCTGCCCCAACCTGAAAACTGCTTGACCTAGTGCACAACATCAGGTCTCAGCAGTTAGTGGTTCAGTTGGATGGGGTTGTTGCTATGTCACGGGAAGGAGCAGAAAACTGTGGGCTGTTTGTCAGGATGAGTGTGAAATCAATACAGGGAAATGGAATTTTGATTCAGTTTTTCCAAGAAAAATGATTGATCCAATTTCAAAGAGCTAGATCTAGATCTAGATCTATATATATATAATATATATATCTATCAGCTATTTGTCAGAAATTATCTAGAAAAAAACGGTCCTTAGCAGATGAAAGTGGGTCCATGTATGAGATGAATTGTCTCACCACAGACCTCAAGACAGACAAATTTTGAAGAGTTTTGATTTTGAGATAGTAATCATATTATTCCATCTTGTCACTGTTACGCATTTCCGGATATGATCATATTCGTTGAACACCATTCTTGTCTTGGTGCATATAATTTATAATAATAATAATAATAAAGCATTTATATAGCGCATATATCCCCGCTCAACAGCAGTCTCTATGCGCTTTACACTATATTATTACCCCAGCAGACCATAGAACTCTCAGAAACATTCTCAGTTTCCCAGGAGGAAGCATATACAGTGCAAGCAGCTGATTAAGGGCTCAAACACTAACAAACTGACAAGATCTTTCGCTGTCTATAGCCGGGTACCCATTCCCACCTGGGTGAAGCGAGGAAAATTCATGTAAAGTGCCTTTCCCAAGGACACAACGTCGGGCCCCTGACGGGATTCGAACCCACGACCATACGGTTGCGAGTCCGGAGCCTAACCACTAGGCCACCGACGCCACATGGAATTCTAAAGAACAAACACGCACATTTGGCACTTTTTTTTTTTAGATTACAATACGTATTGTTATCTATGGTAAAAATGACTTTTTCAGTCCCGTATCTTGAACATGTCCAGGGTTGTCAAATTTGTTCAACAATCCCTAATTCAGTATCAAACCGTGATATTATAAGGAAAAATAAGAGAGAGAGAGAGAGAGAGATATTTTGAAGAAAATGAAGGGGCGGCACAATGAGTATCTGCTGGATACAAATGTTTTCATCTCTCTCTCTCTCTCTCTCTCTCTCTCTCTCTCTCTCTCTCTCTCTCTCTCTCTCTCTCTCTCTCTCTCTCTCTCTCTCTCTCTCTCTCTCTCTTTCTCTGTCTCTCTTTCTCTGTCTCTCTCTTTCTCACACACACACACACACACACACACACACACACACACACACACACACACACACACATACTGGAAACAAACTCATATATAGGCTCCCAACAAATCACGTCATGTCTTTAGTGTACACAACATCAAGAGTAAGAGCTAGCAAATATATACAAGGTCAAGGTAATCTACAGGTCACAAGGTCAAGGTCATCTACAGGTCATGAAATGTTTGGCCAGAATGTGTCTTCCAGTAAGTTATGAAATTTCTGAACATTTTAAAGTAAAACACATTGATAGCTCAGTTAAACGTCACACTCCATCGTACATCACTTTTTAAAATGGCGTATATATGGCAAAGTCTTACACTTATGTGTAGAATATTTAAAAGAGGCCTATGTGTAGAAAACGTGCTTAAAGAAGAAAATCTGCATTATATAACAATTAGATGCGTTAGGAGGAGCGAATCATGTTACCTTTTTAAGAGCTTCAGCGTCAAAGACTGTGTTTTTTCTCGAAGACCAAGTAAGTCCATATCGAAGAAATCCAAGGGTTGATGAGGAAACGGAATTTAAAATGGTACTGTTATGGTCCCCGTCTATGTCTTTTACTTACATCACGCGTCGCAAAAATCCCTAAGAATGTAGATTAGAATTCCACTTTGAAACACTTCACTTCAGATTTGACTTTTATAGAATGTTGCGTGTGATGGTAGCTTTTTGTCCTGTGGGTTGATTTTTTGTCCTTGTCTTTTTTCTTTCACTTTTTAAACATATTGCGCTAAGGTTGTTCAGCTTTTGTAGCCTTTGAAAAACTCCTTGTGGAACAGTTACAAAAGTTACAATGCACATCCAAATAGAGTTCTGGACAAAAACTGCTTATATTTGATGGAACAGTTACAATGCACATCCAAATAGAGTTGTAGACAAAAACTGCTTATATTTGATGGAACAGTTACAATGCACATCCAAATAGAGTTGTAGACAAAAACTGCTTTTATATTTGATGGAACAGTTACAATGCACATCCAAATAGAGTTGTAGACAAAAACTGCTTATATTTGATGGAACAGTTACAATGCACATCCAAATAGAGTTGTAGACAAAAACTGCTTATATTTGATGGAACAGTTACAATGCACATCCAAATAGAGTTGTAGACAAAAACTGCTTATATTTGAGCATTTCTCTGTTTCTCAATTTCTACTTTTCCTGACTGTCACCAAAATAAATAATGGGATAAGAGAGTCTAAGAAAAAGTAATCCAGCTTTGAACTAACCCTGTCTTAATGATCAGTATGAAAGCGACTGGTGCTCGAAAAACATTGGAAAGAGGGACTATAAGGGGAAATATCTTTTAAAAAGGAACAAGTTTTATTTATATAAATTGTAGAAATTCACAGGTTAATCAATTTATTAAGTGTGTTAACTTAGTGTAACATAGTGTTTGTCTTTCACTTATGATCTTATCTCACGCCATGTCAAAGTCATTAAAAATGTAGGGGGGTTTTTTTCTTCAAATTTGTTTCGAAACACTTTATATAAATGAATACAATGTATAAATATTATAGACTAGCACACACAAGTACTTGACTTCTGTCCTGTACGTGTGATGTTTTTCACGGCAGCCTTTGTGTTTCACGCTACTCACACGGACAAATAATATCCAAATGAGAAGACTCAAACTCCTGTCTAGTGTACGTTACGTTCCTATTTCTGAAAGAAAAAAAAGCCTTTAGTTTAGTAAGGAAAGCCGGTTTATATTGTGGTAGGTCTCTCTCTCCACTTCTGTCAAGTGGCTGTGTGTCTCTCTGAAGTGGGGGAAGACGTGTCTCTTGTTTCTCTGCTGTATGTGACAACAACACACTCTCCCCACCCCCCACTCTGACTACTTCTGTGTCTTTTCTTCTTCTTCTTCTTCTTCTTCTTCTTCTTCTTCTTCTTCTTCTTCTTCTTCTTCTTCTTCTTCTTCTTCTTCTTCTTCTTCTTCTTCTTCTTCC